TGTATGTTGACCAGTGATGATGCGAGTAGGGTAAGGGGTGTCTATTGTTTTTCTTCCATTCTGCTTCCACATCTGGTGATTTCCAAATAGCCAGCATTGAGACGGGTGTCCCCCCCCCCCAGAATCGGTTAATAACCAGCATTGTGTGCCTAAAAGTGCTGTCTTTGGCAAATAGGGTGTGTGTGTGTGTGTGTGTGTGGTGTATGAGGGGAGATGTTATTGTAAATAGCCATCTCCTTTTGTGCACAGACAAGGCTGGGCATTGGGGAGGGGGATAGCAAGGGAGCCTCCGTCTCTCTTCTTCAGCATTTCTTCTAAATTAATATTGCTTAATGTAGTGGCTCAGAGCCTTGCAATAGGATTGTACAGTCTAGCAAATGTAAGTTTTGTGCTATTTCTCATGGACTGCTGCCCTGTTTTTCTCCCTCCCCGCTTTCAATTATTTTGGCCCTAAACATATAAATGTAATATGAACAATGATTTAATTCTAAGTTGTGCCTATAGCTAAGTGAGATGATCTTATCAATTTTTAAATTTCTCCTTTTAAGGCTTGGGTTTATTGTTTGGTTGATTTGTTGCCTTTGGCTCCTTCCTTTTTGATAACAGTTCAAAGGGATGAACTGAGAGGAGCAAGGATCTTTGTTCTGGCACATTAAGATTATTTTTTTTAAAAAAAAGATGGCATATTTATCATTTCTCCTCCATTATATTTGAAGCTATATAAAAACCTGCCTTCCATATGCCTGTCTTCTACAACCTAGTAGCATTATTTATACATTGTTAGTTCTCACCCAGTTTGGGCAGTAGTAATCTTATTTGTATTTTTTTACTCCCAGCAAATCAAGCAAGGGTAATGTGGAGGTACTTCAATTTACAATTGTTGTTTGAAAGCGTGGGTGGATTGCTTACCTGTAGATTCAGCACTATAGCGAGATGTGTGGGGCCTGTGTGCATATGAGAAAGAAGAATGTAATGGTTTATGCAGTATGATTTATATTTATATAATGCATGAGGTTGTGTGTGCTGGAGGTAGTTTTCTGAGTAACAGGAAAAAAGGAGATAGTTGTATTTTATAAGCATCTATTCATGCAGAGTATATGCTTTGTTAAGCTGATGGGTGGCGAGATGAACCCAGAAAAGATTGAATTCTTCATTAGACTGGCTGTTTCATTTTGGAAAAAGCAGACAGATTTTGCTTTTTCTTAAATATATATATATATACCTCAAATTGTAGCAAAGATCTCAGCAAGTGGTGTCAAGTGGAGTGGGAGCAAATTTTTCCACTTTTAACTGGACCTTAGACTTCCCCATGAACTGTGCTTGCTGCCTTCGTAAACTCTTTTCCTAAGATTCTTCTGTCTTATTAATATTACAATCCAAAGCGCACCCTTACTAGAAAATAAGTCTACTATATGGGGGGAAGTACTTGGAATTCTTTGTGACTGATGATGGTAAGAAATGCTTGTGAACTCTCAGCTCCTTCCTAATTCATTGGTGGTTCTCTTAGCATATAACACTGTTTTTCAAAAAAAAAAAAAACAGTTTGGAGGTGACTTAGCTGGAAATGCTCCTCTGAAACTCTTAGATGACCCATATCTAAATTGTTAGTGCTTTTCCAAGGAGATGCATGGTCATACTAGCTGAAAAAATGCAGTGGCCAGATGGACTTCCAGTGACCTGAACCATGATTTTCTGTATGTTATGGGTGGCAGCATGATTATAACCTGGACTACGTGTTCTTTACCCCTGGATCATGCTTTCAGAAGTAATGGTAGGGAAATCTTGAAAACTCTTCATCTTTGGAGATCAGATATTTCCAAAGTAACTTTTGTTAGGTATTGCTCTTTCCAGTTTTTCTGTTAATTGTATTATAGTTTTAGGTATATAACGTGGATGAGTCAAAGAAATGTATAGATTATGACCAATCCGTATGGGGAGGAGGAGAAAATGCTTGGTCTTTTTTGATGTTTAGGTTTGGATGGGCTTTGTCAAGCAAAATTACCTCTTTGTCTTAACATTTGCCCTTTCCATGCAGCTTACTTCACAAGAGCAAAGAATGCATTAATCAACATGTGTTACATAAATTAATTGTATGGCAGCATCCTCTAAAGGAGCCATGGTCTCTCCTTCCCTCCTTCAGACAGATCCATGTTACTTGAACAGGGAGAAAGCACAAGATGGTGGCCATCAGGGAATATTGCTGGGGAGCCTCCAGAACTCCATTTGGTACAGGCCTATGCAAAGAGATTGCTCCTGCCATATGCACCAGAGGTGGTAAGGCTCAGATTTGGCTAGATCTCATGTTAATGAGTATGCTTGGGGGAAAGGAAAATCAGCAAAGGACCTATTGTCAAATCTTAGAAGCATATGGATTTACGACCCAAGCTAAGTTGTAAATAATGTGGCAAAACACACAGTGGAGTAATTTGACCTCTTTATGGGCAAGCTTGGAAGGAATAATTGTAGAGTAGTGTGCATATTTGGGGAACCAATTTCTTTATTTCCCATCCCTTCTTGGTCTCATCCGATGGTTGGGAATGACTCTGGAGAATCCGTCACTGTTGCAGTATAAGTATATTAGAATGATTTTTCTGAAATGGGCTAGCCTCCTTAATCATTAGGTTCTCTTTTATGAAATTTGTGCCAGAAACGATCATGAGTGCATGGGCTTACAGAATAAAATCCGTTTCATAAATTTCTGTGAGGTTTGCTGCAAATGAAAAAAGATTGTGGCTGACCATGGCTTTAGTTTCAAGCTTACTTTGGTGACTGAGTTGTCCTCTCACTCTTATTTTTTACCCTTTTCCCACAAATTGTTGATTAGGGCACTGATTGCTAAAGTAAAATGTTAAATGTCTCACCACTAGGTCAGGAAACTGAGTCTACATATCTTATATCAAAGAGTTTCCTAAGTGTAAAGCACTATACCCAAGGATTGGAATATTTTTTATAGAGGACATTAAGAATTAACTTCTTGGATCTTTTTGGTATATATATCCTCTAACTTTACCCTGCCTGTCTTTTGTTTTATTTCCAGCGCATCTGAATCATGGAACTTCGAGTGGGAAACAAATATCGGCTGGGACGAAAAATTGGTAGTGGATCCTTTGGAGATATTTATTTGGGTGAGTTTCTTGTTACTGTAGACCTGTTATCTCAGGCTAAGGAGCTCTGGCATCCTGGAGAATGGAATGTACTCTGCTGCTCTTTCAAAGTTATTTTCTGTTAACATAAATAAGATCATAGTAGACCAAAGCCTTGTTCCTGCTGATTTCCAATTGCCCCAGGAGTTAGATGCTGAATAGTTTGGCGTATACATGCTTTAAAATTGTAAAATCATTTTGACTCACTTGTAGCAACTTGGTAAGAAAACTCCCCTTTATTAATAATAGATATATAATATTGTTTCTGGATAGCTAATATTGATTGCTTCTTATAAAATATATTATTAATAATTTTGGGGCTTATAGTAAGGGTATTAAAAGGGGGATGAGATAGAAAAATATTTAGGACATTCAGTGTAGGAGCTATTGATTATACTGTCTGGCATATAACCAACAAAGAATAATAAACTTAGGAATTGGTGGCTGCTACCCCAGGCTGATTTGAGAAATTATTTGTCTCATGTAGTTTAGACTGCTTGCTCAGCATGTTACAGAACCGGAGGAAGGAAGTTGGATATTTAGCGCCTACTTACTTCCTGCATTGTGTTGTCTGAAAAGGAGACGGAACAAGGGGCTTTTGTCCTCTTATGGATTTACCTTAAATAACTTACATCAGAACCTTGGTCATCCTTTTTAAAAATATGTAAATCTTTCAGTGAAGTCTGAGCAATCTTTACTCTTTATGCTGCTGAGGTATGGTTCTCTCCGTTTGTACATGTTGGACTATATTTTTTGTTAGCGTGGCGGTAGACGCGAGATTACCAAGTTATAATTCAAAATACCTGGAGAGTACCAGATTAAAGAAAGCTGCAATCTTAGGGGTGTAGGGGTGCTACCTATGGAGTGTTCAGTAACACGATGCCTCTACATTACACTCCTTTGCACGTAGTTGGCTTTCCCAGCCTCCAGCCACACTGTATCATGTTGCAATGCTTCCTGGCATTGTTACAAGATTCTTCACCTTTACTGTTTTTTGAAGTTCTTCAGTACGGCAACTTGTGGTTATTTCCTTCTCAACTGACCCGTCCTTTTTTATTTGTATGTAATTCATGTTACATTTTGTTGAGCTAATTTTATTCTCAATAGATCTTTTAAAAAGCTGTTGCACAGAATTTTAGAAAACATGATAAACAGTAAAGGCAGGCTTTGTTAGTATGGTTCCTTTTGCCTGCACATTAATCTTTTTCTTACTTAGATGTACTTTGTTTGATTCTGAAAATGCATACGTCCCTATAAACTTAATTGAAATCAAAACATCTGATCCAGTAAACAATATATAACATACTGAGATATTTTGACTATGTTGGATGTAGGTTTATGTGTGAAGAGCCTATTAAAACATATGCCTCTGCTGAACTTTCTTCCCATTTCTTCATTACTTTGTCTTTTTATTTTAGAAAATTAACTTCCATTTGTCTAAAAATCTGTGTCCAGGTAGGTTATCTTCTGTCTCAAAAGCCCAGTTTATTTCTTCCTCTTGCCATACTATAGTACAGTAGTGAGCCATTAAATATCTGTCCTTCCTTCTTTGCAAGTTTAGTTTTTGCTAATCTCTTCTTACTTTTGAATGACCCTGTGAAGCATTTTGTGAAAGTGCTTTGATTGAAGCCTATTGCAGTGGAAATGATGGGTGAGAATTAGGACTTTCTCTGGGTTTGTCCCATCACTATGGATTCTGCAACACTGGCCTATTGTAAAAACTGATCCTGAAGTGGGTTTTATAGCAAACTTTTACAAATTTTAAAAAACTTTAAAATATTACTAACTAGATTATGAATTGTGTTTTTTCTAACCTCCCCTAGTTACTGTGAGATTACAATAAAACCACATTTTTTTACGGATCCTTATTCAGCAAACTTCCAACCAAAACCAAATTTTAGTTCAAACTTTATTCTCAAAGTGGAACAATCCAGGTAATTAATGCTTAATTAATTTAATGTCTAGTGGTGGTATTCAGCTGGTTTGGACTGGTTCGGGCGAACCAGCAGTGGCAGCCATCCGCCATGGCACTATGTTATCCTACGTAGCCATGTTTTCTAAGCTGTGCGCATGCGTTCAAGCTGCACACACGAGCAAAGCGCATGCGCAGAAGGCCCATATGCTCACTCATATTTTTGATGTGCAGCGAATCAGTGGTAAAATTATGTGAAACCCACCTCTGTTTAAGTTGTTTGTATAATTTGTATCCTTTGCATAATTAATACAAATATATAATCAAAGAGATGATGTAAACTGGCACAAATTATGTAAATTGCTTCAGTTAAATACTTTTGAATTTGCTGGACACTTTCCCCCTCCAATTGGTCTGTTAATTTACTAAATCATATCAGCAGTAAGTACAGACGACAAGACACCATGGTTTTCTGCTCGTAGTTCCATGGTTTTCTTTCCAAAGTTTTCGAGGGTGGTAGTAGTAATGACATTTAAGTCAGCGCCCCCCTTGGCGGTCTGGTGAGTGGGGGGTGTCATGTGAGTGGCAAGTGGAGTTTCATGTGTAAGAGGAAGGTGTTTTCACTTGCACGTGAAACTGTACTTGCACGAATAGAGGGCACTTGAGTGGAGGATCCTTGTGCTGACACAGAGGGTTCAAATGTTCTTTGCTCACGTGAGTGGAGCTTCACATGTAAGTATAAGGGCCCACCGTTCATGCAAGTGGAGCTTGGCATGTGTTTGCTTGTCCATCGCTCAGGCAACCCAGTTTCAAACAGGCTGCAGCCCAGCAGGCCTGGGACTTGGGAAGCCCTGATTTAAGTAATGTAACTTAAATGACTTGTTGAGCTTTTTTGGTAAAAGCTCAGCTTCACCGTGTATATTAATTAATACATGGCTGTTATTGATGTAGAGTTTATATCGTACAGAATATAAAACTGGATGTTGGTCATTGAGACAATAAATGCAATGAGTTTATTGCTTCCACTATGGTTGTATCAGGTATCCCATGGATGCTGCTTTATTGATTTTTTTACTAAAGAAGGGTATACTAGATTGCGCAGGAATCAAGAGTGGTGCTACATATCTAATTTCAGTATAAGAAGCTGAATTTAGACGAAGATTGAATACCTTGAATTGAATAAGATTGCAAATAGTTTTAAATTATTTTATTTACTGCAGTTTTGTATTTCAGTAATCAAAGTGCTCTGAGCAACTCAAAGTAAAACTTGTAGTGCTGCCTACCTTATGTGTGACGAAGTGGACTTCAGTTCCCATAATTCTCAACAATGAACTTTTTGGATGTGCAGTTCTGTGAGTTAAAGTCTATAGCTGGGGGTTGCCGAAACTGGGAAACTATTTTATGCCCCCATATATTATAAGATGAAAATTGTGTCTCTTTGATAGGAAATGTTATACATTCCTATTTAAACATGCTAAATTTCTTGTTAATATTGAATGAGAAAAATTTAAATGAAAATCAAGGTACTGGCTAGTTTGTGAATTCAAAAGAGCATCTCAGAATAAATCAGTGGCAAGCAATTTCCATATCATGCTAAGAAAACTGCAGGAATGTCTCCATATAAGTTAGCAAGAGTGAAGATGAATATGCTTTATATAGGTCTTTGTTTTGGTTTATTTTAGATTCAATTATCCTATTTTATGTTTGAAGAATGTAAAGGCTACTGGTTTCCCGAAGAGCAGTGAGTTCTGGAAAGTTTCAAACATCAGTGTTTCAGTAGGTTTGCGTTTTCCCAAGACCCAGATTCATCCAGATTCACCAGTAATTATTTCAGCTTCACCCTGATCTGATTATGGGATAACTGAACAACATGTTTTCTTGCTGTAAACTTGCTTTTGCTATTTTAATTTTGTGTTTCTTTGTACAAAAATACAAAACAAACCCATATCTCATAAAATAAATATTTAGATGTTCCAGAACATAAATGTTCCACTGCAAAGTTTTTGAAAGAAAGCAAAGAGTCAAATATTGGTTGATGAACATCTGTACAATCTGGATAATTATATTATTCAGCCCATGTTCTCGGTATGCCAACTTGGATCTTGGATTCTGATTCATGTGTGAGTTAACCTGGGACATACCTCTCGCTGGGGAAGAATGCCAGTCGAAGCATCCTGGACTGGTAGACTGATGAGACCGTCCTCCATTGGACTGGACATCTCCTAAGTCTCCCTTGAATTCTCTGGTTCTATTGCTGAATGGCTTTTGTAAACAAATGTCTGGAATGTGGATACTTTGCTTTCAGCAGTGAAGTTTGTTTGGTTTTAGGCTCATCTGAGCAGGAGGGAGTGGTGGGGATATAGTTCTCAGAACAGAATCTGATGCAGCATGGAAAAAATCAGTGTTGCATCAAAGGAAGAATTTAATAGGAGTTCGTTTAATTCTGCATTAACCTCATCGTCATGGAGGCCCAGGCTGCTCCTCTACTAAGCTGTTTCTTTTTTAAAAAAGACAGTGAGCCAAAGGCAGCTTAGCAATGCATGCTGGTGATATTTGCTTGGACAGTTCCTGATTGCTTGTACCTTCTTCAGGCAGAAGATCCATTCCCTTTGTTTCTTGGCCTGTTAATTCTGTCTCTATGCCTGACTTCACCCATCTGTTCTAGTCCCCCCTTTCATTTGCCATTCAGTAACAAAAAATGACAGGGGGAGGGGGAGGGGATGGAGAAGGAGAAATGTCATGGCTCTGTTGTGGAACACTAGTAAATCTTTGTGTGTGTGTGTATGTGTGTGCGTGCTAACTTGCCTATGCATCTGCATTTCTGCAGTGGTGAGGCGCACCATTTATCTTTTCTATAACATAGCCAACTTCAACATGCACACGGACCGGTTGACTACACATATATTTGAAACAAACAGGTTCTGGAGCAAGCAGCCCACGCACACTTGAATGAGATGGGATAAATGCTGGATAGAACTTTTTTTTAAAAAAAAATCATTTTCAGATCTCTCAGATCATTAATCAAAAACTCAGTAACGTTTGCATCTTTTAAACAGGAACAGTTTCTAAT